TCGCGTCTTGAGAAGCCTGCCAGTTTCTCCGACATAGTTGCTTTGCCCGCAAATGCACCAGCTCCCATAGACGACTCCAGATATTTCTTGCCGTGGAGGGTCTTTCGGTTTCATGATCTGACGCCTTATGGTTGCTTCCGGCCTGTGTGTGACTCCGACTCCAAGTGGTGTGAGAAGGCGGCCGACAGCCTCCGAGACGTCAAAAGCGTACATAGCCATAGAAGCTGACTAAATTTGGCCAAATCAAGTCACCGTTCGGGGAACACACAGGCCACCGCATCATCCTATGCCAACACCGCAGGATCAGATGGTCATTACTGACGTAACGCATCAGCGCACACTCCAAGAATTTATCGATTTTTTTCTGCACGTTTAAATTTTACGGAAGACTCCTGTGCACAAACAACCTGTATCTGCTGCTGTTCTGTGATTGTGTCTCTGATAGTGAATCCGTGACGGATATCAAAATGTCAAGCGAATAAACATATTGTTCAAGCGATCGAGTCGTCTTCTTCTCGATTACTTCCTGGGACTCGCATGTTTCCTCGTATTGGCAATTTAATGTTATACACGCTGACCCGCTCACCTGTCCAGTGCTACTGACCAACCAGTCTTACCAATCCTCCTAAACGCCGTTTCCAACGCATTCGCCAGGGACGAATAAACACTGGCTAGTTAATGTCGACGGGAGGGCCAATCGATCGCTGAGCTGTCTTAAGCTGATATGGCCAGCCACTCTCACCACCGCACAAATGACGCATCATAGCCTTGATTCACTAACCCAGTGTGCATCCGCTACCCACAGCCGTTATCATACCAATTTTTATTTAGTTGGTTTGGCCAATTGTGAAAAAACTCGCGGCATTCGGTGGATTCGAACCTCACAGGATGGCCTTTTAGCCAAGCCAACGCTCTACCCACTTGAGCTACGAATGTCGCGCTTCACATTGTGAGTTTAATCACACTTGGATCGATATTACCCGCCCAACTCTGCCGCTCACATGGAATCCACCAATGCGGGATAGCAAGTTGACTGCCCG